TCCTTTTAGGGGTGGGTCTTCTTTTATTTGCTTGAGGACAAGCAAAGGTTTAAGTTTAGGGGAGTTGATAACTGTGATTTTAACACGTTTTATGCCCATACTTGCCTATGCTTTATGTATGAATTGTCATAAAATAGACCCAGAATGCTTACAAAGTGTGCTTGATTGCAGGTTTGAGCGACAAGATGACAAAAGTGAAAAATCGGCTCGAAACGGAGTGAAACCTGCTCAAGTGTCAAAAATCATTGAAGTGGGGACAAAAGGACCTAGCGCGGACCGCACTGATTTGCTGCGCGGCCGCGCTAGGAGATTTAGAGGGCATCCTTTTTAGGGGTTTCCATGCGCGGTCAGCGCTCTTTTCTACGCGGTCAGCGCTGGTGTCCCCGCGGTCGCGCTTCGTTGTTGTGCGGTCCGCGCCCATTAGCCTGCGCGGCCGCGCTACCTCTTTTGTGCGGTCCGCGTCCCTAGCTTCAGAAGTGAATGATCGAAGGCCAAGACCCCTACGCGGCCGCGCCAGCCCCGCAGGGGTATTTTTGTCCAATTTTTCTAGCCTAGTATAAATAGAATATTTTATTATTTCTAGGTTAAGTTTTAGATATCAGATAGCAGCAACACTCGTGAGACTCAAGTTTTAGCCTATTTTGGGCATTTTCATCTTGCTTTATCGTGGATTCTTGTAGATTAACATTCTAGTTAATTAATATGTTGATTTTATCTACTACTTCTTTAATTTCTGTTGCTATTATGGCTAGCTAAACCCATTAGCTAGGGTTGTGGCTCGACCCTAGTGTGAGTAATTAATGGGTGTGATTGTTTAATGCTTGAATGATGTTGGGTGTTTGATATTTGGGTTAATTTAATGTTTTAACTAGGATTTGGTGGTTGCAAACACTAAGTCTAGCTTAGTGGGTCTTGACTCTTCTTGAGAAAGAGTGTCTATGACTCCAAAATTAACCCAACAAGGAATTGAGATGGACCCATGAGAAAGGTAGTCCCAATTAACGGGTAAAACCTCGAGAGAGTAATTACCCTACTTGAACCCTAAGTTGCTTGGCTTGTTAGCCTACCCAATTGGTCTCTCGAGAGTCAATTGGGTAAAATCACTCTTTCTACCGAGAGGTGTGAGAGTGAGTGCAATCGTGCAACGGTTATAGCATAAGCCCCATAATCATCATTCTTGTATTAGGAATCTCTACCCGTTAGTTGACCACCTTGGTAAATGCGACGACCCTAGTGCCTTTCTCTATCTTGCATACAACCTAAAATTAATATCTTAGCATAATTTAGTTATAATTAGTAGTTGTTAAATTGTAGTTGATAATCATAAAAACCCAAAAATGATAGAAGATCAATTAGAAGCAAACACGCATTTCTAGGCTAAGCAATTATCCATCTCCCTTTCTAGTACCCTGTGGAAATTGACCCCGATACCACTATTGGGTAAAAGTATTAGCGCCCACTCTTCCTAAGGTTGAGTCCGCTGCGCGATAATCACTCACTCATACAAAAATCATCCAAATCCGACGTCTAATTTCCATTCAAATTTAGATTTCAATTGGGGAACTTTTCCCCCATTTCCAAACTTCTACCCTCAAATTCCTTAATTAGATGAGGAAAACAGCAATGGATTAATGTAATATGATCAAAATAGAGTTAGAATTCGTTACCTAATATTTCTCCTTCAAAATCCCTCTAGAAATCGCCTCCCACAGAGCTCCAAATCAAATTTTGTGATATGAAATTTCAAACACTCAAAATCCTCTTTTCTGCCTAGCAATTTCCGCATCTGCGCTCATGGGGCTACATCTGCGGTCCCGCACCTGCGGAAAAATCATCGGAGGTGCGAAGGTCACTTATTCGGGTTGGGGCCGCATCTGCGGTCCCGCATCTACGGTCCCCCAGCCGCACCTGCGGTCTCAGCTGCCTAGGTCCATTTCCGCTTCTGCGACTACCCAGCCGCTTCTGCCGCGCACCTGCGGTCCAAAATCCGCAGGTGCGAAACAACAGGTGCAACAAACTTCAGAAAATGCCTAAGTCCCAAATCAAATCCGTTAAGCATCCGAACTTACTCAAGGCCCCCGGGACCTCAACCGAACATACCAACCAATCCTAAAAGATCATACGAACTTAATCGGCCCTCAAATAACATAAAACAACGCTAAAACCACGAGTCACCCTCTAATCGAAACTTAATGAACTTGAAATCTCAAAATTCTACAACCGATGCCGAAACTAAACCATGTCCGATTGACCCCAAATTTTGCACACAAGTCATATTCAACACTACGGACTTATTCCAACTTCCAAAATCGGATTTCGACCCCGATATAAAAAATTCCACTATCAGCCCGAAACTCCAAAAATTCGACTTTCGCCATTTCAAGCCTTAATGAGCTACGGACCTCAAAAACACAATCCGGACACGCCCCTAAGCCCGAAATCACCCAACGGAGCTAACGGAATTGATAGACTTCCATTCTGGAGCCGTCTTCACACTGCTCCGACTACGGTCGAAATTCTAAGACTTAAACTCTCATTTAGGGACTATGTGTCCCAAAATACTCCGAAACTCAAAATGAACCGTACCGGCAAAACACAATAGCAGAAAAAGATACGGGGAAAGTAGTTAATAAGGGATCGGGGCGTAAATTCTCAAAACGACCGGCCGGGTCGTTATAAGAATCTAGCATCTCAAAATATCGGCTGTAGCAACGTATTAATAATTATGCATAGAGATGATCGAATTTGACACATCAATGTATACTCAGAATTTCATCAAATTTGATCAAGTTATATTAGGCTAAGTCTCGATTCTAACATTTAATACTACGTTCTTAATATCTAGAAGTCAAGTGAGGCATAAAACAAGAAAGTTATGAAATTCTACAAGACACAATTATAACATAATCTACCCCGAGCATGATTAACCCTGGCACATACATATACGCTCGCCACCTCATATATATATCACCCCCGCATGTAGCAAATAGTGTCAAATAGGAGGAAAAATTTCCTCAACAAAGTTAGGCAAGACACTTACCTCAATTTGGCTAACTCAAAACTCAATCTAGCCTTTTTCTCTACAAATTCGCCTCCGCTCGACTCAATCTAGCCAATGGCGACTTGAATACATCACACAATGCAAGAGAAAACAATTTAAATTATAAAGTTGTGATTTTTATTCAATTTCTAAAAAGTCAACAAAAGTCAAACCCCGAGCCCGCCTGGTAAAAACCCGGGTCCAAGGGTAGGTCTTGACTACCCATAGCCTCAGGAGTCCAAATATGTGTTTTGTTTTCAAATCCGAGTCTTATTCGACTCTCAAATCCTAAATTTTCATTTTTCAAAACTTTGACAAAATTCCCAAAATTTTCCATAGATTTCTCATGAATTTGATGTTAAATCTTGTATAAAATCATGAAATATAGTCGAAAATTGATTAAAGATACTTTCCCAATGATTTGGTATGAAAACCCCTTCACAAAATCGCCTCCCTCGAAGCTAGGGTTCAAAATATATGAAAAATGAAGCTAAAACTCGGAATTCTCAGCACTTAGCAGGTTGCAGATATCGCATTTGCGACAGGGGGTTCGCAAATGCGAACCCCCCAAATGCGAAAAACTTATCGCAATTGCGAACCTGGAGGATTTCTGAAAATTTAGCAAATGCGAAGACCAGCTTTCGCAAATGCGGCAGACTCATCGCAAATGCGGAAAACTACCCAGCCACCCAGGCTTCGCAAATGCGAGGCTTCTTCACAAATGCGATGGCCGCATTTGCGACCAAAACATCGCAATACGAAGAAACAAGAACCAGCACTCAAAATTCATGAAAATCATTCCGAAACTAATTCGAAACTCACCCGAGCCCTCGGGGATCTAAACCAAACATGACAAGTCTAAAAACACAACACGGACTCGCTCTCGCGCTCAAATTATCAAAATAACTTCGAAAACCACGAATCGGACGCCAAAACGCATGAAGATCAAACTAAACTTCAAGAACTTCTAGAATTGCATCCGAGCGTCCGAACCATATCAAATCAACTCCGAATGGCGCCAAATTTTGCTGACAAGTTCTATATGACAAAACGAACCTACTCAAAGCTACAAATCATGCATAACACCCTCGAAACGATGAATCACACCTCAAGTCAAAATCAATGAACCTTGAAACTTCAATTTCTACAACCGATGCCGAAACCTATCAAATCATTTCCAATTGACCTCAAATTTTGCACACAAGTCACATTTGTCATTACAGACCTATTCCAACTTCCGGAATCGGATTCCGACCCCGATATCAAAAAGTCCACTTCCGGTCAAACTTCTCAAAAATCCAACTTTCGCCATTTCAAGACCAATTCAACTACGGACCTCCAAATTACAATCCGGACGCACTCCTAAGTCCAAAATCACCCAACGGACCTAACGGAACTGACAAAACTCCATTCCGAGGTCAAATAGTAAAAAGTCAAACTTGATCAATTCTTCCAACTTAGAACTTAAATCTTGAAGTTCATTCTTCCAAATTGATTCCGGATAACTTGAAAACCAATACCGACGATTTAAGCAGGTCATAATACATCATGCGGAGATACTCGAGCCCTCAAGATACCGAGCGAAGTGCAGATTCCCAAAAAACGACCAGTCGGGTTGTTACAAATAGATCATGTGTTAGTTAATTTTTTTTAGTTTTTAGTAAACATATATTCACTTATCAAAATTTTATCTATAACTTTAATAAAGAAAGATGAATAATATTTTTGCAATAAAAAAACCCAAAAAATTCGACAAAACTAAATCTATCCAAACCGATATAATTGGTTTGGTTTGGTTTTGGAAAAACCCGATCTAAGTCGGTCCATGTACACCCAGTTTTAACCCTTAAGCTTTAAAACCGTAAGTTTTAAAAGTCTTTTTTTTTAAATTCCGTGCTGAGTCAAACTAGCTAGTCAAAATTGAAATGGAGGGAGTATGAATGATCATATTACATGCCACTAGCTTTGATTATGAAAGTACATTCTTTTAAAATTAATTTGTTATTCAGAACAGGTGCTGCATAAGAGTACCCCAAAAGGTCTTATTCTAGCATCATCTCTCTTACATAGAAAATGCAACTATAGTATTTCTGATTTCATCAACGCCTTCTGGCCGCGGTTTCCCTTTGGCAGTTGAAGAAAACAGCAGCAACTGGAGAGCCAAGCTCATTTTCTTCGGCGAATTTCCGAGTATTGAATCGGTCCCTGGAGAGTGGCGCGTTCACTGTTTGCCTTTTCTTCTGCTTGAAAAGCAGAAACACAAACCTGTGGATTCCAATGTTTGGCATTGGCATTTCATATCCCACTGCTTCTTTTCCTAAACGAAGATTTCAGCAAGCAATTATTAATAGCACTAATAATTTTAAATTTAGGCAGATAAAGTAAAAGAATAAAGTATATTCCATACCAAATGAGGAATCTGTAGTGCCTGGAATGTCTGTGATTACCCTGTGAAGATAGTCAAACCAAGTAAAGAGCTAGAGTGTTCTTACACGGTTATACCGATATTAAGCTTCAACAATATATAATTATATATTTTCATTTGAATATATAATTATAGTACGTAAGAAGGCAGCCCTATACAATTATTAGAGGATATCGGTGGCGGATCTAGAGCATTAATTATATATAGGTTCTCGAAAATCCAGTAACATTCGCGAGACTTTGTATTTTTATTAAGAAATCTACGAGAGCCCGTTTGGAATAGCTGATTGTAAATAGTTGATAAGCTTGAAGAGCTGAAAAGCATTTTTAAGTGCTGAAATTGATCTTTTAAATAAGCATTTACGTGTTTGGATAGACGTGCTGAAACATGTGTTTGGTAGAAAAGTGCTAATAAATTATTTTTTTATTAAAATGACTAAAATATCCTAAAAAAAATTTACAAAACATTATAAATTAAATAGTTTCTTTGTAAAGAAAAAGATGAACTACGAATATGGAATGAAAAAAAGTTAAAAATTTATATTGGGAATAAAATTTTGTGAATTATAAATATTATTAAGGATAAATTAGTAAAAGCCTTGGTCAAACTAAAAGTGCTTATAAGCTAAAAAGCCAAAACTTGGGGGTGACCAACTTATGACTTATGGCTGATTTTAGCTAATAAGCACTTGACTTCTAAGCACTTAGGGTGTTTACCGAACGAGTAGATAAGTTAAAAAGTGCTTATAAGCCACTTATAAGCTTAGCCAAACACAAATATCTATAAATATCTAGCTATGAACTTAATTATTATTGTATATTAATTTGAAGTAGAAATCCATAAACTTCAATCCTGAATCCGACTCTGTTTTCAGACGCCTCTTTCTCATACTAAGCTAGATGTCATGAAAGGCAGATGAACAACTAGGAATAATGAGACTTTGTTTGATTTTTAATGATCAATTTAGTACGACAGTATGTCAAAGTTATAAGAGAATGTGACTTTTTTTTTTCTTTTGCAACAGTGAGTTTAGGTTAATTGTTATTTTGGCCGAAACTTCAATTCCGAATGGCATATCAATTAAATGAAAGAACGGATAGTATTTATCTTTTATCTTTTACAGACTAATGGGAAAATATAATCTCTTTACTCTTTAGTGAAACTTTATTTAATTATTTGCTTTAAAATTATTTTGGACTTAGATAGATCTGATAGTGATGATCTTACTAAGACTTTTGCATCGATTTTTTCTTTTTGCATATTATTACTGCCTTGGTATAAGGAGATATATATCTTATAGTAGACTTGTATATCATTTTCATGTATTCTGGTGATTTTTTGATTTTGCTATAAACTACAAGTCAATTTATTAAAAAGGTTGTATGCATTTTTTTTTTTTTGAAATTCAATAATATATGTGGATGCATTTGATGACTTTTGCTGAGTTCGAGAATTTGGGTAATTGGTTAGTAGGTAGTCGAGCATATCTCTTTCCTGTACCGGTAGTATTAATGTGATTTTGTAGTTTCTTATTCTTAGATTTCTATCTCTACTTGCCATTTTTTCCGCTTCGATTATCTTATCATCTTATCTTGTTTGGTACTGCTTGTTACTGCTTCTTTTTTATTTGTCCTTGAGCCGAGAGTCTATTGGAAACAGCCCCTTTATCCTCACGAGGTAGGGGTAAGGTTTGTGCATATACTACCTTCGGCAGACCTCACTTGTTGGGATTTCACTGAGTTTGTTATTGTTGTTGTTATTTAGCAAGTCTTTATTTCATGCTTCTCGGTATTGATTAGTATGAAATTAACACGACCATGCGATCAAATTCTTGGTGGGAACAAACTTTGTAATATTTAAAGCTTTCAAGTTTGATCATAGTATGATACATACCAGTGTAAGTGCTCCCTAAGATATGGATCACTAGGGCCAGGAACATCAGGGTCAGTCATGATCTATCAAAAAGAAAAAACAATAGTTTATAACAATATGAGAATATATATAAGAATAATGAAAACAACTTAACTAGTGTGAAATTATATATTACCAGTGTAAAGAAGGATCTCATGTCTCCTCCATGAACTTCAACCTTAGGTTTAGAGGTAACAGAGGATGGAAAGAATTCATGCCCATTATAGACATGCTTACTGGGGTTATAAATAACACACATCTTAACACTTGGAGAGAAATAATCAACAACATCTCCAACCACCCTGCCAATAACTAGGGGATCTGTCATTTGAGCCATATAATGAAGAGGAGAAAGAGTACTGGAGAAAGATTGAATTAAAAGTATCACTAGTTAATCTGTAAATAACTTATTTTCTTGCTGGATCTTTTTATGGAGCCTACAACTGCAAAACCTATATATTTATAGTGGCAAATGCACCTATCCTTTAGCTTCTTTAGATCGTTGTAAGTGGGAAACGGATTAAAATATAGTACAACATATAGATATAAATTAAGATGAGACCGCTTGTGGTGGAGTAATAACTAGTACTCTCTCATCCTTAACTAGATGTCTCGAATTCGAGCTATGACCAAAGGGTATGCCATTATAAGAGAGTAATATGATTTTAAAATATAAATATATTCATTCAAGTTTAAATAGAAAAGAAAAGAAAAGAATGTTTATAAAATGAAACAGATGAAATATTGTACTTATTATTTTCTAGCATGAACGTTTAATATAGAACTTGCTTCTCCATTTTGTATTGGGAAAAAAGTTGAATTTATATTGAAGATGACGTGGCGTGACACGTGGACTGGACAAGTGGTCAAAGCGTAACAATTGGGAAAAAGGTACGGGAAACGACAGGTACGGGAAGAAGTGAAATAGGCACGAGAAGCAGTTTAGACACGAGTCTCGTACCAATTCGAAGTCATTTAAGGCCAGTGGGTCGAAAGGCATTGAAGACGTGAATCTGAAGACAAAAAGGAGTCCAAATTCAGTATTAAATACCTGATACGTTAGAAAATTGGTATTTAATAGGAATGATTGTGTAACAGCTCATTTAATGTCATTTATTGTCCATAATTGTCTCATTAAAGCTTAGGTTTTATTCCTTTACCTAGAATCAACTATAAAAGGAGGAAGTTGTATTGGGAAAAGGACATCTTTTACATCATACTGAAATAAGAAATTTTGTTTACTGCTTTATTATTATTCTCAGAAAGCCTATTATTATTTTGGTCTCTTGATTATCAGTAACCCGATTTTTCATCTCAAATTCTAGTTTTATCCAAAATATTATTTCTTTGGTGAAATAAATTGGTTCCGTTACCGGGAATCTGATAATCTATTCTTTTTAAGTTACAATCTATCTGTTGTTATCATCATGTCACATGGCAATAATAACAGTGACAACACCTTGGGAAACCGTGAAAATCAAATGCATCAAGATCAAGGAGATTTGCAGAACTTTAACGCGGTTCCTGCCCTTCAAAATTCACCATGTCAATCTCGTGAAGGCACTCCTAAATCACATGCTGATGTGCAAGAGCAATCAGAACATTTTGAGGGACCAGAAGAAGCTCTGCAAAGAATAATTGATGCACGGGTTAGCCAAGCTCTTCAAGCGCTAGTTAGCCGGTTGCCTGCTGCGCCGTCCACACCTTCGCCAAATAACAATACGCTGGAGAATCCTCATTCTGGCCTTGTTAATTCAAACGACGGAACCCCCATTGAACCACGATAAATGAATCCAGGTAATACAAATAATTCTTATTTGCAAAATTTGGTACTAACTTTGCAGACACAGGTCAAAGAACAAAACGAACGCATCGAGCAAATCCCTGGAGTTCCCCCAATAATCAAAGGAATAGATGCGGATACATATTCACAACAACCTTGGAAACCGAGTGCTGCTCCCCTTTCAATCCCTAAAAAGTTTAAAATGCCTGACATTTCAAAATATGACGGCACAACCGATCCACGTGACCATGTGACGACATTTACTACAGGGGTCAAAGGAAATGATTTAACCAAGCAGGAGATTGAGTCCGTGTTGGTCAAGAAATTTGGTGAAACACTCACCAAGGGTGCACTAACCTGGTATTCTCTTTTGCCTGAAAACTCTATAAACTCTTTTGCTGAGCTTGCAGATTCTTTCATTAAGGCGCACTCAGGAGCACAAAAGGTTGAAAAAAGAATGGAGGACATCTTTAAAATCAAACAAGGGGATACAGAGTTGCTCAGGGATTTTGTTGATAGGTTTCAACGCGAACGAATGACTTTACCCCGCGTACCAGATAATTGGGCTGCAATAGCTTTTGCGAGCAATCTAAATGTTAAAAGTTCTGAAGCCACGAGAAGACTTAAAGAAAGCTTTTGAGAGTTCCCTGCAACCACGTGGAATGATGTGTATAACAGGTACAGTATGAAGTTGCGAATCGAAGAATATACCGTGCCTCGATTTCAACATGAAGACAGAAGCAGTTCAAGGAGATCCGAAGCTGAAAAAAGATCAGGTAAAAACAGGTACGATCCTTATATGGGTCCTGCAGGGAAAGATTCACGAATAAAACAGGATAATCAACGATATGATCAAAAATCAAGAAACAGGGAGTCAGGCTCCTCATCGAGGTTTGCGAATGATCGAAACATACGCGGGGCACGAGATGAGGATGGAAGTTTGAAGGCGAGATTTGGTGGATATAATTTCAATGTCACTACCTCCGAGCTCGTAGCTGTTTTAAGGAGCATGGGAGATAAGGTACGGTGGCCGAAGGAGATGCGACAAATCCAAACAAGCGCAATCCAGATCATTGGTGCGAATTTCATAATGATCACGGGCATAAAACTTCAGAATGTAGATTCTTGCAAAGTGAAGTGGACCATCTGTTGAAACAAGGTTATCTCACTGAGTTGTTTAGCGAGAAAGGAAAGCAAGCCTACATGAAAAACAGGCAAGAGCCACCAAAGCCCCCATCACCCAAGAGAACCGTGAATGTTATAAGTGGGGGAGAAGATATTTATGGAGTAACATACACAACTTCAAATAAAGTTTCCAAAGTCACAATCACGCACGGGAAACGAGTGCGTCAAACCTTAGAGGATGAAAGTATCACTTTTAATGATGCAGACACAGAAGGAGTGATCACCCCCCACAACGACGCGCTGGTAATATCTTTACTTGTACATGATACTAATGTAAAAAGAGTTTTGATTGATCCAGGAAGTTCTGCAAACATCATCCTATTAAGAGTACTACGTGAAATGCAAGCGGAGGATAAGATGATTCCAAAGGCGCATACTCTAACAGGATTCGATAATTCCAGTGTTGTAACTAAAGGAGAGGTAATTCTAACAACTTTTGCAGAGGGTGTTGTGAAAGATACCAAATTTCAGGTAGTAGATATGGAGATGGCATATAATGTAATCATGGGGAGACCGTGGATTCATGATATGGACGCTGTCCCATCAACTCTACATCAAGTAATGAAATTCCCATCACCATGGGGAATCTGTCAAATTCGAGGGGAACAACATACAGCTAGGAGTATTAATATGGTAACAGATACAAGTGCTGTAAATAAAGTTGAAGAAGACATAGACCAAACCACAACGGCACGAGGAAAGACAGATATAGACCTGAGACCTGATATGATTCAAGAGCTTGAAGAGAATGAAAACATCAAAACAACAATTGAGGAGCTCGAGCCTGTGATACTCTTTGAACAATGGCCTGAACGAAAGGTTTATGTAGGAGCCAACTTAAGCTCAGATACGCGAGGTATGTTAATTGAATTCTTAAAAGCTAACGTGGATTGTTTTGCTTGGTCCCATGCTGATATGACAGGAATACCACCGGATGTAATGACTCACAAACTAAATGAAGACCCATCTTGCATACCCGTAAAACAAAAGAAAAGAAAGCAAGGAGCTTTCAAAAACCAGGTGATTCAAGAGGAGGTCCAAAAGCTATTAAAAATTGGGTCAATCCGTGAGGTAAAGTACCCCGATTGGTTGGCTAATACGGTTGTCGTACATAAGAAAAACGGTAAGTGGCGGGTTTGTGTAGATTATACCGATCTTAACAAAGCCTGTCCAAAAGATTCCTTCCCTCTACCTCATATAGATCAGTTAATTGATGCAACTGCAGGGCATGAACTTTTAAGTTTCTTAGATGCATATTCGGGGTACAACCAAATAAAAATGGACCCCGGTGATGAAAACAAAACTTCTTTCATCACAGACAGGGGGACTTACTGTTATAAAGTAATGCCCTTTGGTCTCAAGAATGCTGGAGCAACCTATCAAAGGTTGGTCACCAAAATGTTCCAAGAACATTTAGGAAAAACTATGGAGGTGTATATAGACGATATGCTCGTCAAGACCCAACATTCTAATGATCATATTTCTCATTTATCTGTTACATTTGGAATTTTGCAAAAATTTAATATGAAACTCAACCCAGAAAAATGTGCATTTGGAGTTGCCTCAGGTAAATTTTTGGGTTTTCTTGTTTCTAACCGTGGCATTGAAGTGAGTCCTTCTCAGATCAAAGCAATAGAAGAAATTTCTGATATCCTTACAAGTAAGAAAGAGGTTCAAAGATTAACAGGAAGAATTGCGGCTTTGGGGAGGTTTATTTCCAAATCTTCGGAGAAGTGCTTTAAATTTTTCGCAACACTCAAAAAACAAGATCATTTTGAATGGAACGAAGATTGTCAACTGGCTCTCAGAAATTTGAAAGCTTATTTGTCAAACCCGCCGCTGCTAGCAAAACTGAAGGAGGGTGAAAAGTTGCTCATTTATTTGGCTGTATCAGAAGTTGCGGTAAGTG